CATATTTACGGATTAAATTTTGTATATACTTTTTAGTAAAAAAGTTTATCCGTTTTATAAAATACAAACGTTTGATGACTTTAGATGGCATGCACCATAAGTCTATTGATAACTTTAATATTTAGTATACGTAGCTATCATCATATAATACATATAAGCTTTCATGTTTAGTTAAATACATGCCAATTTTTTATTAAATTCCATGATGGATTATTTTAAATAGATGTTATTTTTATATATAAATAATTCTGCCATTTAAAATAAAACACGAGATTAAAAAATGAGCAATTATATTTTTGCCATTCTTTTTATTTTATCTGTTTCTTGTATGCTGATTTTCCTTATAATCAACAAATTTCAAACAAAAAGAATGCAAACGAGAATAAAAAAGAGCGGGGAAGGAAAAAGGAAGGTGATTATTATTTTTCTAAGGTTGGAGAAAAATCATTAGAAATAGTAAAATAACAATCGTGGCTTTATAATATAAATAAAAAAACTAAGGAGACAAAAAATTAAATATATCGACAATAGAAAAGAATAAAAAATAGGAAATAATTACAATACCTATTTGTATGATGAACAAGGAGAAGAGACGTAAGAGAATTAAAAAAAAAAAAAAACTAATTAATCGAATGACAATAAATAAATGAGTGTGGATTCGCTGTGTGTTGTATTGTTCATAAATGGAAGATATTCATCGTTAATAGAAATTGAATTGTCGATGTAACTTTGATTTCGAATTCTCGAATGTTTTGTTCTCTATTCTTTTATTGTTTTTGGGCAGACTATATATATCGTTTGTCTCTTAAAAAGTGGGAAGAAGAAAAAAGAAAGTGATGCTAATGCTAATAATTCGGTGTATCGTGTACGTAATAATAACAAAAATAATGTGTGTACGGAAAAGCGAAATAATTACTAGAGTGAATATTAATTAATCAAAAAAAAATTAATTAACAAAAAGGTTAAAATAAATAAATAAATACAAAGATAATCATTCTCGCTTTCCCGCAGCGACTTTGATTTAGCTTTTCACCATTACAGAGCCATTCGAATTATTATTACTACTACTACTGCTGTTGTGATTATTATCAATATCTAGTACGCCACCATTAGGTGCATGATGATGAAGTTGTGAAAGATGATGGTGATGGTGATGATGATGATGAAGTAGTTCATTGTCATCCATATTTGATGTAATAGGCACTGCTATTTTTGCATCAGTGGTCATTGGTTGATGAAGTTCAAAGTATTGAGGTGGTGTCGACGAAGTTGATGGTCCCATAACATGTTGTACGGGATGTCCAGTGATTAAAGTAGGATTCATTATACCATAAGTAGGACTCACATGACCAAATGGAATTGATGGTATTCTTGAATGCCCATATCCATAAGCACTAGGATGATGAATTCTTCGACCAGATCTCATTTCCATTTCAACTCGCATTTCCAACAAATTAGTACGTTCTTTCAGATTACGATTCCGTCTCTCCAAATACTTTATATAATCAACTGCCTTGAATAATATCGTACTCTTTGAATTATTAACGTTCTTGAGTGTCGGTATGATATCGGTGAGTTCTTTGAATCCTGCTCTGATTGTATTTCGTCTTTTTTGCTCGGATGCAATATGATTAGCACGTTTCTCTTCCTCGGTGAGTAATTCTTTGTACGGTTTTCGACTTGATTTCGACGTTGATGATGAGGATTCTTCTCGTGTTTCGGATTTAATATCAATGTCATTCATCGTCATTGTCGCGGTGGATGCATCATTTTCATTTTCATTCTCATTCTCATTATCATTTTCATCCTCATCATCTTCTGCTATTTCTTCTATTCCTATGCTTAGTTCATTACCGTTATTAGTAGATGTTGTTGGTGACGAAGAGGATTCTACTTTTTGTGGTAAATCTCTTGTTGGCGTTGGTGGTGTGAATAATGGAGAATTATTACTCATACTATTGTTATTGTTATTGTTATTGTTATCATTGCTATTATATATACTTGTATTATTACTGCTATTATTATTGGATGTGGAAGAGGATGATAAGGATGATGTCGATGACGAGGACGATGATCCTGAATTATTGATCGATAATGGCGAACTCGGCCTTGATTGTCCATTTCGTAATGAAGAGGCAGTTTTTGTATTAACCGGTGATATTCGAGGAAGTGAAAAACGTCTTGATGATATTTGATCATCATCTTCAGTTTGTTTACGTTTGCGATTATTTACACTACTATTACCATCACTGTTGTTGTTATTATTATTATTATTAGAAATATTGTTATTTGTGATGGTGCCGGTATCATTAATGTTGTTATTACCGAAATCGTGAGAGCTTGTCGATTTTGGTGACGACGTTAGTTGAAGATTCTGAGTTCGAGGAGATAAACTCGTTGAACCAGAATTGAGAAAAGCTTCATCCATTTGTTGCTGCTGCTGCTGCCGCTGTTGTTGGAGATGATAACTAGAATTAACACCGTTAGTATTTGTTATTCCATTTCCTCCGTAAATATGAGAAGAGGGCGAAGAATTTGCATCAACTACAGCAGAAACCGAAGTAGAGCCATCAGCAATAAGATGATTATTTGTCGTATCGTTCGAAGGTGGATAAAATTGAATTTCCGGCGTAAGCATGAAATTTTGATTTCCTGGATCCACGTCGAAAAATTGAATAAATTTGTCTAATAGAAAATTTTGTTCTTCAGGCTCAAATAATTGCTGTTGACCACCTCCTAATATGAATTCCGGTGGATCGGCTGGTATTGGGATTTGAATGTTTGGCCACTCGATGTTGAATTCTATTTGTATTTAATATATTTATTAGTTTAGATTTGATCAAATCGAAAATATTATTTTAAATTACTTACGGTCATATGGTGGTGGTTCAGGCATTAATTCTGCATGTCCAGCAGATGTCACGAAATCAAACTGAGTTTGTTGTTGCAATCCCTCTTGGTTGTGTAGATGCTGATGTTGTTGATGGTACTGATCATGACTCGAATAATCACCGTCATTACTATTATTATTGTTATCATTATTACTACTGTTATTATTACTATTTGTGTGTGACGCTACGGTAGTCATATAAGTTGCAGAAGATGATGAAGGATTAGAAGGTTGCATAGAATCTGATGTTTGTCTCATATATTGAGATAGTTGTTGTCCTTCGTGTTGTTGTTGATGACCAAGAAGAGGATTATGATGTTCTACAAGAGAATTTGTTACTAGATGAGGATGATGATGATGATGATGATTGCTGCTGCTGCTGCTGCTGTTGTTGTTATCAGTTGAATAATATTGAGGTAATGTATCCATTTTGATTAATGATTATATAGTAATAAATAATAATAGTAATGATGATGATGATGTTTGTTCTTTTTGGTAGGTCAACTACTGCGTTGATAAGATTTCGAGAGTCAATGTATTCTTTGTATTCGATTTGCTAGTCTTCTAATACTAGTGGTAGCGATTTAGCATTCCGGTGCTTTTGCGAGGTTTGTTTTGTTTGAGACTAAATTCAACCCAGTAAAGAAAATATTAAAATGAGAATATTAAAAAAGAAAATATGTATATTATATACAAAGGGATTATGTTTTTTTTGATTTTGGTTTCTCGTAAATTTAAAAAGAGTAGAGATTATTATTGCTGTTGTTGTTTGCTATGTATTAATTAATTGATCAATTGTTTTGGTTCGTTATCATAAGAAAAAAAAGAAAAAAGCAAGAAAGAGATGTGCGTTTTAATCTTTTGGACATACTAATTCGGTATTAAAAGACTTTTTGCATGTAGCGTGAAGTGGAGGTGAAAGAAAGGGATAATTATTTTAATTATGTATAGCAGTCGTACGTAATAAATATAGATAAGTAGTGTTGTCTGTCTGTCTTGATAAACGCACTTCTCTTTCCACTAGCTCTTTCTTTCTTTCTCTAATAGAGAAGGGGAAGGAAATCAACAAAACTAAATAAAATCTCTCTCTTTTTTCTTTTATTGTAGAAAAGTTATACTGCCTACTATTACCATGAGTATTTAAACAAAAAATTATAAAATAAAACAAATAAATAAAAAAAAATTAAAAACACCAACCAAATAATTTAAACACAAGAATGGAGAGAAGAGATAGAGCAAGTTTAAATTCCTTTTTCTATATATGATGTATTATTATTGTGTGGTTGGTCTAAACGCAATTTATTCCTGCTGCTCTTCTTTTTCTTTTTTTTCTCAGTCTGCTGTTGTTCCTCTTGGATAAAGTTTAGATGACGATGATTACGAGATTTCTATGTACATCAATTTATTTATTTTTGTTTGCTTTGGCTATCGTTTTTTTCTGTTCTTTTAACTTCAAGTCTAATATTTAAAGTAAAATCTAAATCAAAAATAAACTATTTAAACCTTAACGCTTTCTTTTTATAATCTATGTTTATTTATATTTATATTAAAGTAAACGTAACTCTCCTGAAGGTGATGATGCAAGAGGCAGAGAAAAAAATGATTGTGTTCCTTTTCACACACAAAGAAACTTGTGCACGTATGTATATACTCTTATAGAAGGTATAAAAGGATAATTATTATAGTACTATAATATAGTGTAAAATCAGCTGAAATTACTTATTTTAGAAATTAAAGTTTCATCACTTATTTTTTTATATTATAATTCAATTGAAAATCCTCTCCCATTTTTAGAGAGTGTGTGAAATTTAGCAGAGTTTAGTGACAACAATGTTTATTATTATTATTTTACCCCACAAAAAAAAACTCTGCAAACAAGAGTTGATGAGTCGTCATCATTGTTACTTTAATTAATTGACGGTAGTAATCACGTCGATTAAATCCATCCTTTTGAGAAATCACATTGCAAACTTTTTGTTAAATTCTATTATTATAAATAAATAAAAATTCGATTTTTAGGCTCACTTCGTATCATCACGCTGCGCCAATTCACAACACAAATCCTAAAATGTCTCTTTATGCCGAAGCCCTCCAACATGGCAGAGGAATATTTTTAACCAATTTAAGATTGATTCAATAGATTTCATGAGAAAGAACTAGTCTACGTTTTCCTACGGATATGTGCGATAAAATCACGACTTTATTATTCGAATCCCGCTTACTTAATTTTGATAAAAAAGGTGATCAATCATGTGTATTAAGGTTATATAGATATATAATTTTTCATAATTGGGGATTACTTAATCAGATACCGAGAACCATCCATCCATTCTTCCTTAACTCCTTAGTTCATGTTCATCTCGCACATGGCTTGTAGATTTTTATTTAACCAATTTCTGGTTATTTCTTACTATTATTCTTTATTTCGAGCATAAAAAGGAACCATCTTTTTATTTCCTTCCTATGATTTCTCTTATTATGTATTAGTTAGAATATTCGTTTGAGAAAAAGAAAAAGAATTTAGAAATAATTAATTAATGCCGTAATCGCAACAATTAAAATTACTCTAATCATTCTCCAAAAATTCTTATTCCAATCGTTAAAATCATCAATATAGGCTTGAATAAGATTAAAAAAATGAATAATATATAAGGAAAAAATATAGATAAGAGACAGAATCAAAATCCAAGCATAAAGAAATACCTCTTTTCAAAAGAAAAATAAGAATATTTTTTATAACATGTCAAAGAAAAAGTAACTAGGTTTTTTCTTATAAAATAATATTTAAAGAATCAAAAATTAAATTTATTGATTAAT